CTACAACTTGCCTGCCATGGTGCTTTCCAAGCCAAAATCGTGTGGCTTCCTCGCTTGGAGGTACCAGGTGCTAGGACCACTTAGCAATGGAAGGAAGACCTCCCCCAGCACCTGGGCAGCAGCAGAACAAGCGAGGTCCTTTAGGGATTGGCCAGTCCCCCTGGACAAACACGCAGCGTCAAACAGGCCCCTGGGTCTAATCGTGCAGCCACTACTTCACAGCAGCCCCGAACACCTGTCCAGGCCAGCCCCTGGCCAATGGGACCGAGGACATGCCGACTGGGCTAAGGGCTGGGCTGAGGGCGGATGGCCCAGGGTGCTGTCCCAGGCGCGCCCACCTCCATCTGCCTGGAATTCCTCCTGCGGAGCAACTCATGATGCAGACAGGACCCCGTGACCGTCACACATGCCAGGCGTTGTGTTGAGTGATTCACAGGAGACAAGCCCAGAACGGTATCCCCACGTCACAAACATAGACATGCAAGGCCCTGCTGCAGGAGCGGTTTGGGGGGCAGGATCCCCACCAGCCTTGCCTGGAGGCCCCATCCCCACCGCCCTCCCGCCTTCACCCACACATGTCCTCTGAACCACCACTGGTTATAACCTCAAGCTGCGCCTAAGAGGGTGTGGGGATGACGAGGTTACATCTGGTACTAATGCATGTGCCCACCCAGGAAAGAGCCTGCGTTTATACTCAAGAATATTTTCAGTGACCCGCCTACCAGCTAACCCAGCAGCACGGTTTGTAGCAACGAGATACCATACATGGACCAACGTCCCTCACATGCTTCACCCCTGAAAGGGCAGCAGCTTCCAGTACCCCCCGGCCCCCCCCTGCTGCCCCCTCCCCATCCTCCTCATGCATCTCGGCACGGAGGCTCAGCCCTCCCCATGACCTCCTGCACCTCCCCAGCCCTCAGCACCTCCCACGAAAGGCCCAGAGTACCCTCAGTCCCCTGGACCCTGTTCCTTCTCCAGTGGGTTCAGGGTAAGGGTAGCTCCCAAGGGTAGGGGCAGCCTGGTGTGGCTCACTAGGCCGGGACTCAGGTGTTGTGAGCAATGGCCAGGAGCAGAGGCGGCCTCTGCTTAGCCGGAGCGCTGGGATTAACAGAGTCTGAGCATTCATTGACTAACTCAAACAAACGGGGGAAGACACCCCCTTAGACACTCCCTCCACCGCTGGACTCAGTCTATGCTCTCAGAAATGACCCGGTCCCTCTACAGACACTCCAGGGTGAAGCGTTTTCAGGTTCGGTGCCCATTCAAGGACCTCCCCCACCGCAAGAATCTCCGCAAAGACAAGTTGTGAAGTTTGACTTGTACTGATTTCTAACAAAACAGAGGTCTTTCTTTGTTCTGATCTGTGAAACTGTCAAAAACAGAGCTTTCAACTGACTGTTACCTTGAAGACACAGACGGTCTGTGGGGCCTCACGGCCCAGTGTAATTAGACACCACGATTAAAAAACATTTCATGGTTGTCGGAGGGAAATCCTACAAGGAGGCCTGAGGTCTCCAGAGGGGCGGCCAGAGACAATCAGCCAAGCCCTGGTCTCCCTGGAAACCACAATCCTCCTACCTTCTCACCTTTGGGGAAATTTCCATAATATTCTCCAACTCTCCAATCAATAGTCACTTCCTCCCCAAGACGGTGGGGGGGGGGGGGGCTCTGGGAGCTGGAAGGAGCTGAGGACATGGCCATTCAGGCTCCAGCCTCCTCTCGAAGCAGTCTTGGTCACTTGCCCTGGGCCCACACTCACCCCTAAAGGCAGTCAGGGCGAGGACAAGAGTGACCGGCCTGTGGGTCCAGCCTTGCCCACGGAGGACGGATGGGTGAGAAAAAGCAGCAGGCAGCCTGCACGTGACCAGATGTGGGGCCAACTGGGTTATCCAAGGCCATGCAGGGGACAAGTACATGCCCCGAGGCTCCAGACCCCCATCCCACTGCCCCCAGCCACAGGCCCAAACCGTCGCAGGCCACCGGAGGTCTAGCTGACGCCATCTGAGGATAGAGGGGGCTCGGTGGACCAGCCCTAGAGAAGGCAACTCACAGCAGTGAGCTGGTCAGACGAGCCCCGGCCTCTAGGGTCAGTTCCTGCCCTGCATCGCCAGCATTTTTCATCTGCCTATTTTAAACACCATTTCATTGGCAACTCCTACTGGCTTTCGGAGGTTCGGAGTTAGCCAATCTGCACCCCAGCTCTGGGCAGAGACCCCTTCTGGTGTGAGTGGGGCAACTCAGGAATTCTACCCCTTGCCTCACCAGTGAAAATGGGGCCACAAATGAGAAAAACCTGAGACTGGCAGACTGCAGGCCCAGAAGATGTGTGGTTCCCCTCTCTCCTAACTCAGGCCTCAAGCAGATCCCCCAAGACACCAGCCTGCCCGCCCAGGGGAAGGAGTCATGTGGGGAGGGGTCTGCAGGCCCAGGGACCTCTCTCCCTCCAGCTCAAGGAGAGGAAGGGACCTCGGGGCTGGGAGGGGCAGCCTGGTCTGAGATCCCTCCATACTCAGGGAAGCCTCCTGCCTTCAGAAGTGTTTCTGGGGCCGCTCCCAGGCAGAGGCAGTGATGGCCATAGCTCCAGACCCAGAGGCACATTCACAGAGATGGCCCCTTCTGCAAAGGGTGGGAGAGAGGGGGACGGGACCTGCCTGATGCCCACCAAGCCGGGGGGGGGGGGGTGCCCACAAGGCGACCGCCTCCTTCCCCTCCTTTGATGCCCAGAGGGTCCGGCACACCCCTGCTTTCCAGAAGCCAGGCTTCGGTGGCAAAAGGCAGAGGAAGGTGGCCTAAGAAGGCAGCGCTGGCCACCCCACCACAATGCTCCCTGGCCCCATGGCTCCCCCAGGCCCAGCTCTGGAGGGGCTTGAACTGGCTTAATTAACGAATCAACAAACCAAACTGAGGAGTGTCGGTCCATGCTCGGGGGGTGGGGGGTGAGGCGGGCAGTGTGCACAGGGGAGGCCACACCCTCGGGGAACAGAATGAGGGCAGAAAAGGCCTCCTGAGACTGATGGCCTGGGCCCCAAGGATGGGCGGGGCCTAGGGACAGTGACGAATCCCATGCTCGGCAGGGGGTGATGGTTGATGAACAAGAGAGGACAGAGATGTCTGTTCAAGGAATACCCCCGGGCCAGGTGAGGGGAGGCCCCACACAGTTCGCCTCCACAGCACCTTGGGGGCAGGGGCAGGGGCAGCTGGGCCCCTTTACTGCCCTGGAGCCCCCACGCACTGCAGGCCCACTTGTCCTGACTTAGGGACACTCAAGAAGGAGGCAACAGAGACCCCACCCTGGGAGTGGCTGCCTGGACCCTGGCCCCACACACTATCCCTTCAGCTCTGGACACAGGAAGCACAGATGGCTGACCGCTTCAGGCTGGGCATGGAGCGGCCAATAGAGGGGCCCTGGGAAGCCCGGCCAGCTGGGACCTTAGTGCCAAAGCACAGAAAACTCTCCAGTAGCCCCACTGTAGGTCAAACAGGAGTGGGGGCACCGTGGGCTGTGTCCACGGATCAGAGGTCACCTCAGGCCAGGACCTGCTGGCCAGAGCCAGCCCCCAGGACCCCCTTGAGCCCCAGCCCGGAAGGAGAGAAGACGGGGCTCTTCCAAGGGTGAGGAACACACCTGGGCACATCCGCCCAGGGGGATTACCAGGGTGGAACCACCTCCCCAGGGCCGGCGGGGCTGATGCGGTGCCCAGGGAGCCTCTGGGGACAGTGCCCAGGAGGCCTCCAGGGCCGTGGTGACCCTCAGGACCCATTCCTCAGCAGCTGGGCACTTCCCTCCCAGGGTCTTCTCCCCCCTCCCACGGAGGGTCCATACACAGCACACTCACAGGGCACAGCACGCTCTCAGGACACACAGCGCCAGTTCTAGGTGGGCCCTCAGTTGTTCCGAGACGTTTTCCCAGAATCCACCCCTCACTCCCATCCCAAAATGCCTCTCCTCACAAAATGGCTGAGTCCCGGGCTGGCTGGGATGGGAGAGAGCGCCTGCATGCTCAGAAGCTGTGCGCACCACCGGCATGGGTGCACACACACACACACAGGCACAAACGCCACACACATGCGAATACCCATGTGCACACGCCGGCCCCTGGCCACCAGCCCTGCCTCAGGAGCCAGGAGTTCCCCGAACACCGGGCCTGGGGACACCAGCAGCCCTTCCACAGCCAGGGCGGATGGCCCCAGGACGGTGGCACCCCTTCTCTGGGGTGTCTGCTCTGCCAAGGAGGGGGTCCAGAGCCCAGAATGTGCACAGGGGCCTCAGGCATACACCTGCCCCTCCTGCTGCTGAGAGGAGTCAGGGCAGCGCTGCGCGGAGGGAGAGTGGGGGTGCAGGACAGCTCAGGGATGGGTGCAGGCGCCACGGGACAGGACAGCCAGCAAACTGCCCTGGGCCTAGGGCTGGGCAGGAGAGTAAGATTTGGACCCCTCCCCATTTCAGCAACCTAGGCGCTCAGCCTGGACGAAGAGCAAGCGGCTTGGGGGGATGGGGAAGGGTAAGCCGGCCCCTCCCCCACTTCCCTTTCTTTGGGGGAACCCATCTAGAGGGGGCCCCCCAGGAGTCCAGATCCACTGGCAGGACAGGTAGCGCTGCGCTTCCTCCCAGGCCGGCCCTTTGTTCCGTACAGCGACCGCGGGGAGGGGCTTCTGGGGCAGAGGAGGGGAGGCTGGGGCGTTGCAAGGCGCCCCATCCTGCGGGGGAGGGGCTGATGCAACCCAACCAGGCCGCGGGCGGGCGGGGGAGGGGGACAGACGCCCCCGCCCGGACCTGAACGCCGGATCCCAGAGCTCCTTTCAACCGTTTGTCTCCAAAATCGCTCTCCGACCTCCGCCCCCCGCATGAACCAAGGGACCCCAGGCACACGGTGTGACCGACGCGGGCGCCCGGACAAATACGGAGGCCCTCGTCCCCTGCAGCTGCGCGCCCACGGGCCACCAACGGCCGATTGGCCCGGTGCCCCGCGACCCGCGCCCCCGCCCGGGTGGGCACTTACACGTAGGCGTGGTAGATGAACGCCCAGCCGCGCGGCCGCTCCAGCACGTTGTAGAGGAAATTTTGCAGCTTGCGGTAGAAGGCGTTGCGCTTGGGGGGCTTCCCGGCGCCCGCGCCACCCGCACGCGGCTTGCTCAGGATGCTGCCGCGCTTGGGGGCCTCGGAGCCGGCGATGAGCAGCGCGCCGTCCCGGGTGGAGTCGGGGGCGCCGGGGTCCAGCCCCACGAAGCCCACCTTGAGCTTCTTCTCACCGCTCGGGCCAGGGTACACGCCGCCGTTACGCGACTTCTGCACCATGGTGCCGGGCGGCGCCCGGGCGGGCGCGGGCTCAGCGAGGGCGGCGCGCGGGGGGCGGCGCGGGCCCGAGCCCAGGTCCCCGGCCCGGGAGCCGCATGGCCGAGGCGGCGGCGGCGGCGGTGGCGGCGGTTCCGCGCTCCTGCCGGGCCCGGGCCGCGCGCGGAGACGTTGCGGCCACCTAGATCCGCGCGCGCCTGGGCGCCTGGCCCGAGGCCGCGCCGGCTCCGCCCGCCGCCTCGCCCCGCCCCCCGTTAACTCCCGCGCCGCCGGGAAGGGAGTGGGGGGTGGGGGGAGACGAGGGAGGACCAGGCTGGGCCGCCGAACCCAGCCCTTTCCGCTCCTTCGGCCACGTGTGCCCTGACGAGGGAATCCGGACCCCTGGTCCTCTCTGGATGGGCGGAACCAGGCAATCACACCGCCCGACCAGAGCCCCCAGCTCTCCCTGGCCCCAGCTGAATTCTAACCAGCTGACCTGGACTGGACACCTTGGAGCCGGGGAGACAGGAGCTCTTGCCAGGCTCTCTGGTATAAAGCCCAGTCCCCAAGGACCTTGTGCTCCTGGCCTCTAGATGGACCAGGCTTTCGGACGGAGGCTCTAGACCCCAGGCCCTTGGGTGAGCAGGGAGGCGTCTAGGACTTCCTTAGAGGTGGCCTGAACTGGGCCTTGGAGAGCAGGTCCAGGAAGGCACACAGCATGAGAAAGGCTGGGTTTGCAGAGACCTCGGGGCAGGAAGAAGGGTGTTGATGATCAGGAAAGTGAGGCCCGAGACACCGCAGGGGGCCTGGAAGTCCCCCAAGGGACCTGGGCTTTGTTCTGTAGACTCCAGAGGGGCCTGCGGCAGGAGCAGCAGTTGGAGAGCCAGCCCCAGGGCAAGACCTAGGCCTCAGGCCACTGGGGCCATTGACGCCACAGTCCAGGACAAAGGAGGGCAGGCTTGGGACACAGACAGCAGGGTGTCCCTTGGGAGGAGTGGGCAGAGTTGGCCTCCCCTAGCCATGGATGTCCCGGGGAGGGGGGCGGTGTCGCTGAAAGACCAACCGGCTCACTCTCAGCCCCCGAGGGTCCCCTGCACACTCAATGCTGCCAACTTCTCACCAGCCCCCCGGGAGCCCGCTTTGCACACCTGGGATGTTGATGGCTGCAGGTGGCCCTCCTGACTACATTCAGACTCCTCCCAAATTCACTGGACAGTATGGGATCCACCAAGTGAATAGCCTGTTTAATAGCTTGCGCCGTCCTCAGTGGTAACTTGGGGCTCCTAAAACAGCAGGACCCCTGGGGCCAGGTCACCCATGTTGTTTGCCCTTTGGGTTCCAAAACCAGTGACCTGGTTTTGGGTTTTTTTTTTTCACTTGGGCAGAAAACAAAATGGACAGTGCAGACACAGTGCTAAGTCGTCTAGAATGTGGAAGGCGGGGACTGCAGCGCATGCCACACACACACCTGTGCACACAAGTGCATGCCAGGGGCCACATTCCTGACCCCTACCTTCCTGCCTCTGTGCCTGGTCACTGGCTCCGACTGCCAGTATTAGTCGGGTTCACCCCCACTGAGCCCAGGATGAGGGAAGAGGAGGAGGACCTGGATTACAAAAGGAAAGAAGGAACCATTGCATCATGCATGCACTGGGTTTTCTCACCTGGGGGACACTCACGCTCAGTCCTCAGAAACCAGATGAAGCACCTGTGACTCAAATCTGCATGCTTCACAAGGGCTGACCCACCCCATCTTGCTGAGGGGAGGCCTCCCAGCCCCCAGGGTTCCACCTGAGCTAGGCACAGCCCCTCCCTGGGGTTGGATGGGAGAGCAGAGTGGGCTCATGGTTGGGGGGTTCACAGAGGTGCACCTGGGCAGGTGCATCAAGACAGGAGCAAGTTGTGGGCTCTGCGTCTGAGACCCTGAGCAGGAACAGAGACCGGGGGGGGGGGGGGCCCAGCTGCCTCCACCACCTCCTGGGGTGCCGAGAGGGAGCACCACCTCCCAGCTGAAAGGGGACCAGGCCCAAGTGCAGGCCCCTGCTTGCTTGTCCACGGTGCTGTTGGTACCAACAGCTTCACCGAATCTCTCGGAGGTTCTGGAAGGTGAACCCTATACTGAGGTTTGAAAACCTCTGCTTCTGCTGTTCAGGGCTCCTTCCTGTAATCATTTGTGTTTTCAGTTTTGTGTCTTGCACAAGTAGACTGTGCACCATCTAGTGCTCCCACCCCTGCCACCCAGACAAAACAGGTCATTGGAAACAGTCAGTTGGGGTGAATTTCATGCAGGCGACAGGAATTCCATTTATTTAAAAATAGATGGGAAAAGCTTTCAGGCTCAAGCCATCTTTGCCAAGACTGCACTGACAAGATCCAGAGAAGGGGAGTGGAAAAATTCAGATGCACATGATGCCCAGCTCCAGTTTGGGGAGAAAGCTTTCTCCTGCAGGCTTGAGCCGGGTGCTGTCCTTTCAGCACCACCTCAGAGCCTCCAATGCACACTTTTGCCCTCTCTCTTGGCTTCCTCTTCCCATCCGCCACATCACTGGCTACACTGAGCTGTCATATTCCCATTGGGGAGCTGGGCACACAAGGCTGTGACCCTGTTTCCTGGCCAGCCTCCCCTGCCTTTGGGTGCGTCTCATCCACCATCATGTCCCTCAGAGCCTGGCACACGTGAGGCCTGCACTGGGAGTGGGGATATCATAGCTGCCAGCGGCAGAGGCCATCTAGAAGCAGGTCTGGATCATCCCCTCTTTGGGAACCTTCATGGTGACCCATCCCATGGCTCAGATCACGGCCTCAGCATTTCCCAGGAACCCATTTCTCCACTAGCCTGGGGGTGGTGACTCTAACTTCACAGACTCAACATCAGACAGTGGGGCCTGAAGACATCAGAGCATAGGGGAGCGAGTGGAGAGGAAGCCGGGTTTCCCCTGGCTGTTCATCCTGGCAAAGGGCCATCAGCATCGAGGTCCTGCAGGACGTCCCCAGGGGAGGTGGCTGCAGTACCCTGCTGTGGGAGCCCTTTTGGTTGAGCCCCATCTGTTGCTTTGTTGACACCCTGCAGTCACAAAAAATGCATGACCCGAGGGTTCTTGCATTCAGCCCCTGGGTCCATGGCCAGTGACCACATGGATGTGGCGGCTAGACAGTGAAAAGCAGAGCTTCCTACTTCACCACCACCCCTTTTCCTTCGGTGGAAAAGGAGCAAGTTCCCTCCCCAATCACAATGCCTTCAGAAAAACAGATGGTTCCTCCGAGGCCCAGAGGGAGAGCTCCACCAGGCCAAGAAGCAAGACTTAATTTGGGAAAACGAGGAGAGACAGGTTCTCAATCATACAACCTGGGCCTGAGCTGCTGTCGTCTCAGCGCCTTGATCTGAGGAAACAGGAAGTGCCTGCCCAGACAGAGTCCAGTCCCCCACCCCCACCCCCACCCCCACCACTTGCAAGGAATTTTCCGTTATTCAGAGGAAGGGCTGTGTTATTTCTCCAGCTCATGGAAGGAACAGGGAAGTGAGGAAAAGATTCAAGACATGGAAGAATTGATTTCTTTTTAAACATCTTACACACTAAAGTCAATATAAATTTAATTTATAGGTTCTTTTTAAAGGGTCAGATCTCTCAACAAGCTTCCCGAGCCCCTGGCAACTCAGCTAATTGCATGCCAGAGCTGACTTGCATTCCTTAGCCACCAATAACACCCTGATGCCAGGAGTTCACAGTCGCCTATGACAGCGGGAAAAAGATCAGGCAGCAGAGTTGGCCCTGGACACGTACAGATGGGCAGAAATCAACATGGAGATTCTGGGAGGGGGTGGTAGGCTGTGCATTTTGCCATCGCCAGCCCATAGCTTCCTTATGAGGCATCCCACATTCCCCTCCTCACACCTCCAGGCAAATGAGCATTCTATAACCTCTGTCCTCATTCAAGTTCATGTGTTCTTGTTTGGAGGTGTGATCCAGGCCCCCTGGGTTCTCTGCATGTCAACACTCCCATGGCAAGTTGATCCCCACTTTCCTCGCCATGGCCTTTTCATCTGGGTAATCAACTCACTCCCCACCCTCCCAGCTCCTCTCCCTGGGCACATGATGCTCCAAGGATGCTCAAGCAGGTGAAGCGGGCTTCAGTATACTGTTCCCTCTGCCAGGAATGCTGTTCCCTCCATTAGCACCAGAAGGTCCCTGCTTGTGGGTCTCTCCTGAGGTGTAACCACAGCCCCCACTCTCAGCTCTGGTTCACAGTCACAATCGGAAACTGTGCTACTTATTAGCTCACCTCCTGTTCATCCCCCACCCACCAAGACAGGGAGATCAAGAAGAGGGCAGTGCCACACTCACATCCCTGTGTGCACGTGCACACACACGTGCACACACACAAACACACTCACAGCCCAGTGCACACACTCACATACTCCCACACACACTCACATCTTTGTGCACACACACAGACCACTGCACACACATCACAGCCTCTGGCCCCGCCCACAGGAGGTGATGAATGAGTGAATAGTCACTTTTCTCTAGAACTGGAGGTTGCTTGGAGCCTCCAGCCAGGATGTACCCTTGATGACTGGCCTGGGGCTTGTGTGGCTGGGGGGTGGCCCAGTAGACGGTGGGTGGATGTGCACTGGAGTGCAATGCCGTGGAGACAGGCTCCCTACCAGCAGAGTGGTCAGCCGCCCTGCCCACACCCAGGCATCAGCATCTGGGTCCTGGCTGCCTGCCCACTGTCAGCCCTGGCTCGCTTGAGTGCTTGGCTTGATTGGCCAGATGTCCAGTAGGCTTTGGACAGAGCTGTCCAGCCTGGGGCAGGGCCTGTGGGCTGTTAGAGTCCCTCCCCACAGCCCCTCACCCAGGACAAGGTCACCACACTCTAAGCCAGGGAGATGGGACAGAAAGGCTGGATTCCTGGACCAGTAAACAAGGACACACCTGCCTAGACAGAGCTGGAGCCCTCAGCCCACACTGAGAGCTCTGGTGGGGTGGCCCTTGATGGATTACTCCACCGGAAATGCAGTC